ATATGGATATATATATATATATGCATAAATATAATAAAAAATGTATAATAAAATACCACAAATTATATATCACTAAAATATGTTACTATTTATAATAGCAATTAACTATACTTAAGTATATTATTAAAAGTTAGACATGTATGAATTACTTATATATCTGTACACGTTTTTTGATCATTGGGCTTGAATGTTTTTCTCAAACTGAATATTTGAGATATTAATTAAATCTGAATATTTTAATATTTGCATTTTGTTATTTCAGTATTTGGAATATATAACATTGCACTTTATAATGGTTAAGTATCGAGAAATAATATTGCTTAATTACTTTTTAGCTTTTATCACTTAATATTAAATTGAAATTCGCCTATACTATATACCTATATACATATATATCAGTAGTTATTATCAGTTAAGTGTAAGCAATGTATTAAAAATTGAGGCCCTATGCTTCACTGGGAGTTAATGGAATAAATAAGAAAAAGAATGTATTAAGAGTTAATCATAATGCACTTGCATATAACATATAAATATTGTTTTTTCCATGATAAATATAATATATGTAATATTACATATGTCATATACATAATTTGTTTTATATTATATATTTATAATTTTGTGTATAAATGCTTTAAAAGAAAATTATTGACATCAAATGTCAAAAAAAGTTATTTTAGTGTAATTTTTTCCCAACAAAAAGTAATTAAATTATTATATTAAATTAAATTATAATATTATATAAATAAATAAATAAATAATTTGATCAACGCAAATCTTCAAAGTACGACATGGTTTTTTATATATACTTACAAATTCAGCCACAATAATAATAAGAATAATATTAAATAATATAAGAATTACTTTCAAGAGCATTATAAAAATATAGTTGTGTAAGCAATATTTATTCCTTTTTATCTAAATTACTTTATACGAATGATTAGAGAATCATTCATTCTTCTTTCACCTTGAAGCGAGTGAAAGACTAATAAGTAAATATACTTTTCACATAATGCAATACCAAGAAAGATATATTCATGTTTAGTAAGTTCTGATTTTATATATAATTTCCTTTATTTAAGAAAGAGATTATCATCCTAATCATGTGTCCAAGTTTCAATTACCTAAGCTGAATGTATTCTTAAACTAAATATATCCAATTTTTGTGACCTCCGATAAATTCGTTGAATTATTCAATATTCGTTTAATATCACTACTTATTCTTATAGAAGCTATTTCGCTTATGTTCCCGTGGCCTTCATTCAAAAATTCTTCAGGTCCACTGATTGTCATATCACCTACATTAGATCATTATATTTATATTGGATACTTTTATTTTCTCTTCCATAATTGTAGTTGTTGTTTGGTCTCTCGTAATTATGAGCATTAGTCTATCAGTTGCTCTCTCAGTCACTGGTAACACGTGAATTATGTATCTGCTAAAAATCAATGTTTAAGAATCCCACTTGATCATAATTACTGTATACTATATATTAGTTGCAGAGCTAGGTTTTTGCATATACAGTCAAACTTCCATAACTCTAAGTCCAATTTTGCAAAGAAAAGATTCGACTTATGGAGACTTCGAGTTAGAGAATTTTTTTATATTTTTTTTCTTTTTGAAAGAAACTAGAATTACATTTTAAGATATTTATTTATTTGCAATCAAATTTATTTTTATTATATGTATTCATTTGGTCTCTCCCGATTCCATCCAGCATTAATCTTTCTGATACCCTTTAACGCAATGGTATTTTTCAAACGGTATATTGGGTAAAATGCAATATGTCCAAATCCTACATAAACCAGCCTGTATACATTGAACATATAATCTCCTTTTAAGGCATATGAGCAAATCGCTCTTAAAGATAATATTAATGGTGCAATTTAATATTAAAAATCATATGCAATCTCTTCAACTGGAAAAGATCTCAACTTTTTCCTTTCCTGCTCTATCTTATATACTGCTTATATGTGTGTATTTAAGAAACAAACAAACTCTTTCATAAATCCTTTTGTCTACATATGAAGACTAACTAACATCAAATAATCTGAATAAAATTTCTATCCTAAAAGTGCTTCTTTCAACATTTTAAAGCTGAATCTGTGTTCTAGTAAAACTAAATAAATTTTATAAAATAGAATAAAATAATATATAGAATAAAATAATATATAGAATAAAACAAAGTATAGAATAATGTGGAATATTCTAGAAATTGAATAAAATTGTTATCCCGATAAAAAAATTTTTCCTACTTCACTGTTCCCAAATGATTGCATTTTGCATGTTCCAGTTTTTTGTCTCTATCGCGATAATTTAATCAGAAAATGCATATTCGCACTTCTTGGCTTTTAGTCTCGCATTAAAGTGCATTGAATTTTGAGTTTATCTACCGCATCTGTCTTTCAATATATCTACATAGCACATAATGTCGCTGTGATGCCGAGGTATGTAGGAAGACATGTTCGCTCTAATACCTGAGTGTGTGTGCATATTATAATAATGAATACTCTGGGCAAGGTTGAAATTTGCTAAAAGAAATCATTTATTCTTCAGATACTTGCATTTCATTCCACACTCTTAGCTGTGAGACAATTTCGTTTTATTCTACCTATGTATAGATACTGTTTCTAAGGCCGAATTCGATACATTCCTACTATTCTTGCTGTTCCTGCTGTTATTGTCTTAGCTTCTAGTGTAATTCCTCATCATAATGAAATTGTAGGTAATTTGATTTATTTTTAGTGATTATTCAAAATCACCCTTCATTCCTTTTAATTCGTCACCATGTCTGCGTACTTGCTGCTATTTCTGGAAGACGTTTAAGAGTATTAACATTATACGGTATTATACTCGTATATCTGAAATCTATAACTATCATATGAATTCATATGATAGAATTTATTTTTATCAATATTTAGTTTTTCAAGTCAAAATTACTCTTACAACATATAAGATACTTAACAATATTGAATTATCATTGGACTCAATTTCAATCTAATTCGCGCAGAAGACCCACAGGAAAGAAAATGGAAAGATGGAAAAAAATATATGAAACACAAGAAATTACTTATCTTCTTATACGGTAAGCTGCTCCTCCTTGTATTCTTTTTTTTAATTTTTTGTTTTTTTTTTATATTTTTTCCTGCTTTAGTATTTTGTATTCAAACAACAATACTTTGCTGCTCCTGTGCACGTCCTGCTCGCAACATTGCGCTACGCAATACTGCGAGTTGCTTTGTAACAGTCTGATTTTGACGTTGACGAATTTGTCGACATTTATCATTCGTTTCTAAAAGACAAAAATAACAAAAACAACAACAAAAAATTAAGGATACTCCCGCTTTTCCTGACATGCCTGTCGTTCCGAAGGCATCATTCCATCAGCCATCAGCCAGCCGCGCACCTATCTTCCATGGCATTACATGCGAGTATTTATCCTAATACGAAACAGAACGCGCGGTATGTCGCTGCTGTGCGCATCCATGATTAAAATTTAAGTTCCGTGGGCCCATACGGAGGTGGTCGCCACGGTGCACAGCAGGCGAAACACTATTTCAGTTAGACTTCTAAAACAAATTCCTATTTAAAAAAGGAGTCATTAAATTTATTCATTTTTATAACGAACCTGCCGTTGAAGAAGAACCTTGTTGGAGTAAAGCAAGATAAATATCGCATTAATTAACTAATCATAGCACATTTATGAAACTAAACGTTAAGCAAATAAAAGCATTCTACTTTTGCAATATCATTAATAGGACATAAACTATTTACTATAGTTGAGCACGTCAAAGTATATAATAACAAGAACACATAAGAGTAATATTATTTATTTTGAATTCATATATAAGTACTTTTATGAATATATGATGTATATATCTTCAGTAGATACAAAGAAATGACTATTGAACTTACTTGTAAATAATTGAAAACGAGCCCATTTGCAATACTAGTATCAAACCCTTAAAATGAAAAAAAATATATTATCAGAATTATAATTAGATAATAATAATTAAAAATATATCAGTAGTCCATTTGCAATACCAGTATTCAACCTTTACGTATTTCACTATAAATAATCTTACTTAATTAAAATAATGTAGTAGAATGCATTTACATATTATATTGCTTATAACTTAAACGATAGCAGGTATTCAGAATCGATAACATATATGACTGGGAATACATTCACTATTATATATAAAAATATTTATTAATCATTAAAAATATATGAGCCCATTGGTATAAGTCACATTCAACTCTACTCAGAAGAAATAAAGAAAGAATGAAAAAAGGAAAACTATAAGGAATCTATTGATCTGATTAGTTTACAATAATTGAAAACTTATCGTAAACCCATTTGTAAGTATCAAACACTTACGATGAAAATAAGAAAACTATAGGAAATCAGATTTGTTACCAATAAATGCAAACACCGAACCCTTAAAATGAAAAATAGATGACTATAAGCAATCCGATTACTTAATAATAATTAAAACCACATATTAAAAACACATAGGCAATACTAGTATACAACCATTAAGATAAAAAAAGAATCTAAGCGCAAAACAATTTATTTGAATTATAGAATAGCTGATATCTGTGATAGGAAGGCTTTATATATAAACTTTAGATATAACTTTAAAGATTGAGAGTATTGACAATGCATCTAAAATATGAATGCATTCACTATGATGTTTGATATATTTAAAAATATTCTTTGATCTACAGAACATTTACTATTATTATACATCGCGACTCGAAAGGAAATTAGTCAAATAGAACAACTATATCTTCAGAGATGATTATACGCAGTTGGTTGGGCACAACATTCTATCTAGTTTAAAATGATTTGAAAATAGCTACATAAATAGATATACATAAATAAAAAATGTTACAATAGTAATAAGTAAGATATCTAATAAGATATCATAGTAATATACTAGTCTGAAGCAAAAACACAGAAAGCGATCAATATTTTCATTTTTATCATGCGATAGCTTTAAGAGGATACCGTACTCAGATATTACGGCGTATACGCGATCTATTTGTTAGTCGATTATTTGATTGTCTATGTAGTGTTTGTAAGTTTTTACAGTACTTGCCGTAAAGTGTATATATGTTGAGTGATGGAACGACCAAATACTCATGATATTCAATCGGTGAATATCTGATCACTCATTGAGCATGACGGATAACACCTCGCCAGTGAATTGGCACATAGTTTCAACCTTTGAGATATTAATCTTGAAAAAATCTTATATGTGACAAAAATTTAATGATTGGTTTCCTGGATATCATTTATTTGAACAAAACAGACGGTTTCACTCTATCATCTAGTTTCTTTAACTTCATTCTGCACAGAGAAGATTACTTATTACAAGCACATCGCTGCTGTCGCTTCAATGATCAGTCGCTATATAGGAACAAGCACAAGGTCATACAATTTCAACAATGTATTTTGGAATGAGGACTCCAAATTTATTTTTCAGGAGGCAAAATTGTTGTTATCATTGCCAATACCCGTCTGGAGAGATGGTGACTCAATTTTTTCAGTACAGCTTATATGTCCATAACTAGATTGCAGTTTTTATCCTTGCATGTTGAGGATGCAGGCTTAAAACCTTGACTCAGAAGATTGATATTTTGATCAAATTTACAGTTGAAAATTCGAACTTTGACATGATCCGATAATAATAATTATTACTGATAATTTCATTTTGATAACAGTTTTATAGTCAGTAAAAGAAATTCAAATATTAATTTCTTCTTTCAAAGAAAATGAATATACATATATTACGTACATATATAGTACGTATTTCCTTTGAAAAAGTCATAGACAGTTGAAATACTTATTTGGAAATAATTTCCTTTGTTATTCTTTTATTACTGGTTTTTTTTTAGTTTGTGGTACAAGTTTTCTTTTGATGAAAAAATTAATAAGTTAGTTCCAAGATGATGCAACAAACGGACTTTCCCTTAATACATTTTTAAAATAAGATATAAAAATAAATAAATTTCAAAATGTGAAAATAATCTTATCCATTATTGCTATTTCGATCCAATTACAACCATGACCAAATTTAGTGAAAATAATTGGAATAAAGTTGACTTATTTTAATTGCAATTGAAAGCTCATTAAAGAATACTCAAGTGAATAGTTCATGTCAGGTGAAAACATTGAGTTTTTAATCTTTAAAAAAAATTTAAATGTTGGACACATAAAGTAGTATAAGCATATAAAAAACTATATGAAAAAAACATTAATTAAAACATTTTACCACTTTTATTTCAGATCTAAATTTGGTGTTGTATATCAGTAACATCGATATCGAAAAAGTACATTACGGTTCCGCTTAAGGTAACAAAACGAAGTACATATTAATTACGAAGTCGGCTGAGTTCTTTCCTTTCAATTTTTTATACATACTTTATATTTAACAGCTCAATTAATTTGGAAACGTTTTAAAAGTATCGTTACAGCATTAAAGTTTAGCATAAACGTATGTACACGAGTACAAAATCTCCTTGGTTTCCATTTGGAACCTGGAATCGAACGTCTTTTCACATGCCACAATCAGCATTTCAGTTCGATAAAGATCTCAAAAGGATCTTGCTGACTGTTTTTGTTATTGCTTATTAATGGGGCTCATTACGGCGCGACAACTCTTAGTTCTGGTGAAAATTGTTTTCAGTCAGCTTTAAATTGAGTTTATAAATTTACATGATAAAAGGATTGATTATGTCAATTTATCATTTAATTAGTGTACCTTTATTTACAAAATTGTATACCAACTTCATTTTCGAATGCACTCCGAACACCGAACACCGAACTCTCGGATGCAAGTTGCCGAACAATGCGAGTATCTAATTTAAATGTTGAGGCGGAGATGTGTGTTAACATTTGAAAATGGTTTCTTCACAATCTTCAGCATTTAGGCATCAAGTTACTCAGTGGAAATTGATTTCTAATTAACAGAAGCATAAAATAATTACTTATTGTTATTATGATAATCATGAAATTGTCACTTCGTATATTAGTGGCTATTGATTAAGCCAGGTAGCCTAAGGAATTTCAGTATTCACAGCTTAACTAATATTAATTGTAAATAATTCCATGTGGGACATAAAACTGAAAATACAAATCTATTAAATATCCATACATGGATTTCATATACTGATTTGTGTTTATTTGTAATTATTATTACTTATCCAAAACGACTTTACATAAGTTTTTAAAGTGAGTGAAAAGTCATCACATATCTAGGCTGACTATAACGAATAAATTAGCAGTTAGTTGTCTGGACAATTGGTCATAAGAGATTCGATTATATCAAAAAACAGCTGATAAGCTTGAGAAGGTGAACCCTATAGCTCTAAAGCGCTCCAAAGTGAACCAAAACGACACGAACCTTTTTGCGGGATATATGTTACGTTTGTCAGACTGAAGTGTTTATCGTCAGAATTTTCAGATATGTGAGAACAATGAAAAAAGACATACCTAGATAAATAGAACCACAGTCTATATACATACAAAGTCCAAATAATTTATATCGGCTTGGTTCAAACTAGTTTGCTAATAGATTTTGATATTAATGACACATGGACCAAACAAGTAGAGAGATAGGATCTATCAAAATTTTAGGTCGCTAATATCAGTTTGTTTGAATAAACCATTAAAATAAACTAAATGTTTTTAATACATACTGATATACGATATATAAAAACATACCTTCGAGACCGCATACAGTGGAAAACTGGGATATACAGAACTATAAAATGCAGTTTGATGATATATGAACTGAGTTCTGGGATAACTTATTAAAGGTTGAATAGGGATCATTTACGAAACATTGAACGAGCAGTTTTCTTAATTTCTATTAATCATATTAAAATCGGTCATAGAACTTAATTTTGCAATGTCTTATATATTGAATTCCACAATTGATCTTGGGTAATCATCTTTCTTGCGTTATCTTTTTCGCGTTGAAAATAGTTAGATATGTAAATTAAAGCTTAAGGTGAAATTAGTACAGGATATCGTACTCTTTGGCTGCTCCAATAACTAGAAATGTCATTTAAAATAGATCGGAAAAAATTAAAATGTGTTTTACAAGAACCGGAAAGTATTTAATGTATGGTATTTTGCTAAATATCGGTACCTATATTTTCTTGTAAAATACGTTCGTTAGAGCCAAAAATAGAATATTTTGCAAAGGGTGGTGCTAATGGCGTTCTGTTTTAAAGCAAGTGAAAGAACATATATATAAGAAACGGTTTTTGCGCATTATA